GGCGTCGCTGCTGGGAGCTGGGACGGGGCTTGGCTGGGCGCGGTCGTGGGCGGTTGCTCACGGCAGCGATCGGCTGGGCCTGGCTGGCTTCCGGCGGCGGCAGTGATTTTCGGCGGCGGTCGACGGCGGGGAACGACGGCGATCGGCTGGGGAAATTGACTGGAAATATATATGTATAAAGGCTCGAATAACTTGTACCCAAAAGCCTTCTAATGGATTACCTAAACAGCTATTTCGATTAAACTTGGTGGAGCGTTTAATCGTATCTACCTAACTCTCGAACGATGTAATTCTCTCGTGTATGTAGTAGATAAAAATCGGCCAAGACAACATTGTAGGAGAGGTTGGGACATGGTGTATTTATAGGCTCCATTAGGGACCTTAAGGAGGTGCTAAATATGGGCTTATTCCATTATGTCTAGGAATCCTAATTCTACTCCAATACTATTTGAATGTAGGAAGGAAATCTCCTACTAATCTCCTCCTTCTAGAAGACTCCTAAGTCTCCTAACACTAGAGAAGATCCTTGTAGGAATATCTTTCCTAATTAAAATAATAACCATGGAATAAAATTAATTCCTAATTTAAGAAGCCTAATTTTACTCCAATTAATAATATAATGTAGGAAATATATTTCCTACTAATCTTCATCTTCTAGAAGACTCCCAAGTCTCCTAGTCCCAAGAGAAGATTCTAGTAGGAATTTTATTCTCCTAATTAAATTTATTAATATGGAATAAAATTAATTTCTATTTAAATGGAATTAAATAATAAAACATCCCACTAGAGTAATATTATTGCTCTCCCCATTTAGCCACTATTTTACCAATAAAATTGAGCCTCCATGATTAAATCATATTAATCCGATTGATCGATTTACCTCCCTATGTTTAAGATATAACGTCTGTTGATTAATTAAATTACTGACAAAATAATTAATCAACTTCTTATTCATTTCCGAAATTAGTACCACTCAGATCTTTAACCATTATGTCAGACAATCGTCTACCTGCAGGATTTAACATAATGTTCCTTCCTGATCTCATTTCGGGGACGTCATCAATCCAGCGCACTAGAACATAGTGACCGTAAATAATTTATAATAGCACATCATATAATTATCCTTACTTACCAAAATACCCCGTATGTCATCCTAATAAAATAGGAATCACTTGGTAAATCAAATAAATAAGAAATAAAAATATATGCCTATTTTATATTATCTTACAGCTTAAGAGAACGCATCAATCACTGAAGGACGAGGTTACAACAACGGTCAGTGAGTCTCATAACCTTTGCCTTCTGCGGTCCAGTTCAACACTTAACATAAGTGCCAGTGTAATCCTTCAGTCAAAGACCAACTGAATCGAGAATACACTACAGTCTTTTTCCAAGTGGGGTCTCACTGCCAGTCTAGACTGTGAACGAATAGTTTAGTCTTATAAGGAACCGATAGGTGATCTTTCTATTAGAAACTCTTCGAACCACACTACCTCAATATAAGACATGGAGTATGTATTGCATAAATAAATAAACTGCAAACATATGTACTTTAACCGAAACATGGATGCCAGATCAAAATAGAATTGATAGAATCTACAAAACATAGCTTTTACAGCATACCTCTAACAATCTCCCACTTATGCTTTATAAGCTCATGGCTAAACAAAATAACCACAAT